ACGAAACGTTAAAAAATAAAAACTAAAAATAGTACTTACTTTTACCTACCGTACCTAAACTTAAACGTACGTAAGTAAAAGTAATAAACAAATAGCTACTTTACTTACTAGAGAGAAGAACGAGAGAGAGAGAGAGAGAGAGAGGTGATAAAAAGCAAAATGTGAGGAATCACCCACTCTAACAAAGCAGTCATGGAAGTGCATCCTGAGAAAACTAGCAGCCAATATGGGTACTTTTGGTATGTGCTCCTTCATGAAGTCTGAAACAATCTTCTCAGCGTTTGGGCATGTTTTATCATAAAAACCCATTTTCAATTCACCATGGCAGGTGCCCAAAAGAGCCAACACTAAGACACCCATTACTCCATAACTGTTCAACCTCCCCATTCTTTCTCTCTTTCTCTCTCTCTCTCTCTCTCAATCTAAAACTCTCAAGCATGCCTGTAAAGTTGCAGAGGGAAATGCATATATATAGCTCAATGATTATGTGAGAATCAGTAAAGGAACATTGAGAAATCCAGCATGTGCCTGGCTGTCTGCTTTTTGAAATATTATTGCAATGGGCGGCTACCAAAGCGTATAAAGAGACTGTACAAAAACATTCAATAATCTCGAGGTTTATTCCAATTTTCTGGTTAATTGCTCTCCTGTCGTATTGGATTTTGTGTATGAAGTTTTGGTGGACATGGGTCCAAATTAATTTTCAAATATTTTTGCACCAACTACTCCATATTAATTTTTTATTTTTTATTTTTTTTTAATGTTATTCCATGTATTATTTGATGAGGATTATAACAACTTTCACCCACTGTTTAAGTGTTATTTGGTTGTCGTTTTCCCTAAAGCAAAATTCTGACCTCGAATTGCCAAATCAGTGGGAGGTTAATGATGTATGTGGGGCTAATTGTGTGGAGTTTTTACCACACAGTGGTCAATTAATCCAGATAACCGAAGATTACGAATGACGTAAAAGATATATAAAAACCATAACCGTTAGTGTGGATTATGGAGGAAAAACCCCGCCTTATGAATGTATTGGACATGAATAATGTACATTGAGTGATTCGCAAAATACATGGTGTGCACAGTATACAAGACTGAATATTTATGTAAGAGACTTTTTTTTGACAAGCTAGTCGAATTTATTTACATGTACGGTACACAAGATTGAATATTAACTGCAATTTATGTCAGACTTTTTTTTGACAAGCTGGTTGAGTTTATTTATGTAAGAGACTTTATTTATTGAGAGATATTTATGTAAGAAACTTTATTTATTGAGAGATATTTATTGAGAGTTTATTTATGTAAGAGACTTTACTTATTGAGAGACTTTATGTACACAAGATAGAATACTAAGCACAATTTTATGTAAGAGACTTTATTTATTGAGAGATATTAGATATATTCGTTTATAAAGAAATTAAATAACTGGTTTAATTGCTAGAGGGAGAGTTGTTTGACAAGTGGAGTTTTAGTGAGAGAGGGTTCTTATGAGCATGAGAATCGCTTCGAGGTAAGGTTTGGTTGATTTTGCTTCTTGTTCGAAAGGAACTAATCAATGGAAACAACCCTTGATTTCTCTATAAAACGCTAAATTACCCTCAAGTAGAGTGTTTTTGTGAATAAAAATATAAGGGGATCGGGTTTGAAGATGAAAGAGCCTTCTTTGAAAAACGAATCAAAACTTTGATTAGTATATATGTTTTCCAAGACAGCTGGAAGGGTACCCCTATGCGCTGAAATCACGGATTTCGCTATCAGAGTTTTTCAAGAAAACTATCTTATACAATTAGGTGCGAGAGTATTTGCATAACAACTAATTATAGAGAAGTATTTTTCATGATGAAAAGCTATCTTATATAATTAGATATGAAAGTATTTTCACATCAATTAATTACCAATTGGGTGAAAAATGCTATGAGATGAATTGGTGTGAAAAACTTCTATACTTAATTTTATAAGAAAATTTTTATGCTGATGAAATATTTTCACACATACCACATGTGCCTTAAGTCAGCTTCATGTCGCTTTCATTTTCCCTCACTTATAATTGTGTTTTTATTTTTTCTCTCTCAAGCATGGATTGCGTTATTGTTTTCTAAAATCTGATTAGTCTTGCTCATGTGAGAGCATCTTGTACATTACTCCATTGGGAAAAAGGTTTGCTCCAAATTGAAATTATCTGACAAGTATTCCGAAACAAAAATGGCTGAATTTTTAAGTTCCTAAACACTTAGATCTGAACATTGCAAGAAAAATTAAACAAAATAAGAATAATATATTTCCAGGCAATTAATAAAAAATATTCAGTGAGTTTTAAAAAACATGAAAATATTTTGTGTTTAGAAGTTGTTTGCTAAGTTGAGGACCTGAATCTCTAATGTACAAGGTCCCGAACCTAACTTTTTAGGCTAGGAAGCCATGCCTCAAATGCTCTTGGGTGAGCATGAAATGTTTTAAACCAAGGTTTAAGAATATACTCATTGCTGGCATGGATCGTTTATATGGAAAATCAGTCTAGGTCGGTAATCCAGTCGAGTGAATTGACCAATAAAAAATATTTAAAACTCATAAAACAAAAAAAAAACAAAAGAAATTTTTTTTACAAAAAGTGAGGCTGGCTCTTGATATTTTAGACTATTCCAACCAATCTATGATGTGAATCAATTGATTCCAATCCAAATTACTATTTTTTCAAACTTTAATCTAGACAAATTTCATATTTGGCTTTGTATAGAAGTCGGTGCGCAAGCTGAAAATGTTGGGGTTAGTTTTTGCAAAATTAGAGACTTTGGAGGGCATTCTCTCAATTTTCCGTTCATTAGGGTTGCGTGAGGAAAATTTTAACGGATATGTTCACGTTCTGAGGAAGGGGCACACAAATTTTAGTACTTTAAAGCCTGTGTCAGCCACAGTTTTGCAGGGTGACCGTACAATAATGCCCCTACTCTACCATACGTCTCCACTTAAAAAGAGTAGATAGGGTGGACCCACCTTTGAACATCAATGAGGACGTGAGGGAATTTATTCTTTTCATAAAACTATGTGTTAAGTAAGGTTTCTCCATGAATTTAAGCTTTTCCTTCTAAAGAATTTAGTTTTTGAATTAACTATGTTGAGGTTGGGTACTATATTATAAGGACACGGTGTCGCCTCGGCACTAAATATATTTTTCAAATATAAGTTGATCCTAATTTTTAGATAATAAATAATTTTTAACATAAAGATCATGAATATGAATAATAATAATAATTTAAAATAAAAAATAATAATTATATTAGAAAAACATTTGGACTGTATGGACCACCTATTTGTTTCCCTCTTTACGATGGATGCTTTGTACCTCTGCGCATATCGTATAAATGGTTTATGTATGGTTTCGACTGTAGATTGTATAGCTAAGTTGCAGTTAAAATCCACTAGAGAGGGTTGTTTTTATCCTTGTAAACCCTCAAACTGATCATCTCAACGTCGAGAATTATAGACATGAAAAATAAGGGATTTTTAGTTCTAAAAATAGTTCATTTTGAACACATTCTCTTGACCATCTATTTTCAAGATTTTTAAGTGTTTATCGATCGTAACTATTTTTAGACCGCTAAATTTCATAATTACCAGCAATAATATATTTTCATATCATCCCAAGGCTTTTGCGGTGCCAAAACTGTGTTTTCGGCATAGTTTTGAGGTATACGTTACTTCAATAGTATAAGGTTGAGACCTCATACAAACCTGCAAACATTTGGACCGCAACTGACAGGGTTGCCGTGCTATTAAATAAGTTTTTTTTAATTTCTAATAGGGTTGCAGTCCTATTTAATTATTATTTTTACTTTTCAAATTTGAACCCTTAATTATAATAAATGAAAAATGTTTTGATAGGGTTGCGGTCCTATTAAAATTAAATAAAGTCTCACCTCAAAATTTATAGAAAAAATACTGCTTTGGCCTCGGAAAATCTTCAAATGACCATCTTGGTATTGACCATTTATGATCGTGAAAAAAAAAAGGACTTCCACCATAAAAATAGCGTATATTATAGCACATCATCTACACCATCTATTTTGTCCTAAAAATAAGTGGTCACAAATCTATTTTGTCCTAAAAATAAGTGGTCACAAATCATAAGATCTGTACAATTTTTTGAGCTTCAAAATTTATAGTTAGTGTTGAAAATTGATTTTAGATCTATTATGAAGATTTCTAATGCCCAAAATACTTTTTAAATGAGGATTCAAAGTGAAGCTTTACCTTCTCTTTTTTTTTTTTTTGGTTTAACAACAGTATTAAGTTTGATTGATTAGTCGGAACGTTATATCTCAACAATCAAAAAAGAAAATCATATACAACCAAAGAAGAATCGAGCACAACATCTTTCTTTACAGAGGTGAGGCTTTACTTTGTTTTTATAAAGTCTAGGCCTTATAGAAACTTTATCCTTTTTAAGTGTAACTAGAAAAAGGATATTACAACCTCCTTGTACCATGAGCAAAACTAGTCCTTTATGTTATTGGCTAAGTTTTAAAGTTTAAACTAAAAATTATCACATACTCCAAATTGTTGAACTTAGGTCTGTAAATTAAAGGGTGATTATAATTTAGTCGTATAAAGGGTAAACTCTTTTATAATATATAATTCTGTTGGGGAAACATATCACACAATAATTCTGCTAGGGAAACATGGAATGAACTTCACAAATCATGTTAGGGCCATACACTCTTTTCATTTTAGCAACAAAAGGACAAAGTTTAAATAACACATTTTAGAAAGTGATTTGTAGCCCAATTAACATAGGTCGTCTATTTTGGTGAGACGTTTAGATCTTGACCTTAAAAAGAATTGTTTTTCTTTCCAAATTTTTTATATAGCTATATTATAATTAGATTAACAATGTAAAAAAAAAATTGATGATTTTCAGTTTATAAAAGACTAGATTTTGAAATTCATCTAATTGACGGTCTAGATTCATTGTTGGAGAGGGACTCAGACCATATCTAGAAAAAAAATTGAACTTATTTTATTGGTATAAATAGAGAGGTATATGCAGCTTTTAAGGGCGTACAAATACTACAAATGTGATTTTCTGAAAGTTTAGTGTCATTATATTATTAAGATATGGTGGCAATAAATCACTCCCCAATTCTAAATATAAAAAGAGGAAACAATAATGTGAAACATGAATAGATGGTGGCATTTGCTTCTATCTCGTATTTAATGGTGAACAACCTCAACTGTCTAGAGCTAGTTTTTTATATCAAAAGATTTCATGCTCTCGAGGGAACTTATTGTCCATTTACTCCTTCATGCAAAACCCATCTAAGAATATTCTTAGAGACCCAAAATTTGGAGATGTAACATCCTCAACCCACTTGCTATATTCAATAGAAAAAGTTTCGAAACTAAATTTTCTATGGATTCAAAAAAAAAAGTACTTTCAAATTGAAGAGAAACCGTTCAACTTT